GCCTGGGGTCACATGCAGCTGAGCCGCCAGATCAGAGAAGGTGCGCCGGAAGCGGGTCTCGAACTCATCTCCAGCTGCCCGCATTGCTTGGTGCAGCGGGTCAGCTGCTGGGCCCTCCCCGGGGCCAGCTCCACAGACATAACCCTTCTGCCTCAGCTTATAACCTACAAAGTCTGCCACCAGAGCCCGTGTGTCTGGGGCCGAGGCTGGGGTCGCCATCCGGGCGGCTATAAGAGGCAAGGATGAAAGACTGGCATGAATATATGGACAGAGAACCAGAAGGAGCATTTCTGGTTTGGCCAACCCAGTGAGATGGGGAGGAGGGAGGAAATGCTCAGAGCTCACTAGACAGGGAGAGGCAAGAACAAGGGAATTAAATCATGATGCGGGACCAGGGTTCGAGAGGCTGGCCATTGTATCCTAATATGCAAAATTAAATGCAAAATAAGTAAATTTTATGTTTAGAATACTTTAGATTCTTTTCATAGTAAGACAAAGTCAGCTCTGTGACACCCCTACACACCTCCCCCTGCTCAGTCCTCACCTTCTTGGCTACAGGAGGGGGCTTAGGACCTCCCCAAATGCAAGATGTAAAGATGTTGGCAAAGGCACAAGATGAAGGGGAGCAGATGGGCTGAAGAGAAAGGTGGGAGACGCAATGGGTTACTCCAGACAGAGAAAGGAAGGAGACACTCACCCAGCCGGGATGCCAGCTCTTAAGACACAGCGCTGGTGGCAAGGAGCCCCCAGCTGGGGCCTTTCATCCTCCCGGCCAGCGTGGAGCCCTGGAAAGGGGAGGGGGAGATCAGAACCAGGAAGAGAAGGCCAGGGATCAGGGTCTGGCCTGGGAGGGCTGGGGTTGCAGCTCTGGGCCTGGGCCCCTGCCCCCAACGCTCTACCAGCTGTGTGGCCGAATCCATGTTTAATGACTGTCCTCCCAGGAAACCCAGGGCCAAGGGCTTCCTGCCGACACCATCTCTATTCCCGGTTCCCCCTAGTGCAGCCCAAAGGCCCAGCTCCTCCCTTACCCCCACCTCAGCCAGTCTCCAACCCCGCCCGCCTGCCAGGTTAGGGATCTCACGGGTCAGGCCGCTGCCGGGATCCGGGCCGTTTCCTGGTGCAGGAGCTGGGAGGGAGGGAGAGAGGGAGGAAGAGAGGGAGGGAAGAAGGGAGGAGAAAGGGGGGGGCAGAGGGAGGGCCCGGCGCCGGGTGATGATGGGGCCCAGAGATGCGTCCAGAGAGAGGGGCGGGGCTGGGACGCAGGCCTGCGAAGGGCCACTACTCAGGAAGAGGGAGGGCTGCTGAAGGCTAAGAAGGGCTGGCTGAGAAGGCACGGTGAGCTGGGCTGGGCTGGGCTCCTGAGCCTCGAGGCTGCCCAGAGAAGTATGCTGGACTTCAGGACATCTCGAGGCAAATTCAGCATTTCCAGGAGGTTTCCGATGTTCCATGCACTTGTTGAACTTCTCTAGCCCTGGATTGTGTGTGCCTGGAAAACAGGAGCAGTTCCCATTAAGCTGAAAACGTCTGCCAGGTGCCTTACCCTTCTGGGACTAGCAGACACCACACAGACACCAAACCTTTCCCATCCTCTTTTCTCCAGGACCTTTAACCCAGTGTTCTGTTTGTGGGCTGGGCTTCAGCCAGGCATCAGGGAGTCAGGACTTGGATCACAAGCAGTTTCTGCCCGTACTTTTCTTTAATTCTATTTATTCTTTTGTAATAGATTTATTTTATTTTATTTTTTTTTTTTTTTTTCCTAACACATGAACTAATTCTCATGAAAAAAAATCAAATAAAGAGGTACGGAGTAATAAAATACAGGTTCTCAAACACACACACACACCCCCCATTCCACTTCCCTCCCTGCATGTTGCCAGTGTTAAGCTTGATGTTTATCTTTCCAGATTACATATATATGCGACCATTATTTATACATGGCAGTATATTTATATGGGGCAGATCACAAAGCATTAAGCAGTCTAACCACAGCTGATCCACATGAGGGCACTCACAGCCAGCCCCCTGGGCTCTTGGATCTGGCATTTCCTCCATTTAAACAGCACCCCAACTAAAGGCCTGAAAGAGGCAATCCAATTCTCCTTTTCTGCTAGTTCCCTTTGCTTCTACCTCCAATCCAAGCCTCGATATTACCAACTGCCCTTATGGTCACTAGAGAAGCAAGGTCTTTTCTGTAGCAATAATAGTAACAACTAGCTGGGTTTGGTAGCTCATTCCTGTAATCCCAGCACTTTGGGAGGCTGAGGCAGGCGGATCACTTGAGGCCATGAGTTCCATACCAGCCTGACCAACATGACAAAACCCCGTCTCTACTAAAAATACAAAAATTAGCCAGGTGTGGTGGTGCATGCCTGTAATCCCAGCTGCTCAGGAGGCTGAGGCACAAGAATCACTTGAACCCAGGAGGCAGAGGTGGCAGTCAGCTGAGGTCATACCATTGCACTCCAGACTGTGTGACAGAAGGAGACTCTGTTTAAAAAAAAAAAAAAAAAAGGTAAAAACTAACATATTTTGAAGAGTTATTAGGTGCAAAGTGCTTTTTTTCTACTCTGAGATTCCCCGTTTTAACACTCTGAGGATGGTAAACTCCACCGTCTGGGCTCAAGCAATACACTTTATCTTCTTACCAATTCTTATGCTGTTTTACCCTCCTTCTATGAATGAGAAAATTGAGGTTTGGAGAGATTAAGTGATTGACCCAAAGCCATATACTGATATGTAAAGAGGCTAGGACTCCCATCTCATTCTGTAACTTTGACACTATTGCTTCAAGATCACCTCTTCCCTTCAAATAGTCAATATTGTTCTCATAGTCTGAATCCACACCATTTACAAGTCCACACTCAATTCTCTCCTCTATTCCAAACACACAGCCTATTATACTCCTTTATGGCTGTATCCTTTCAACCATCCTCATTTCTTTTTTGCTCTTAGCCTGATCATTCTGGTTGCTACCAGCAAAGTTGCTCCTTTCTTTAGAGAATAACCTAGTCCAAGTCTTCATATGCACTCCTGATTTGTTGGCTAGTTTGTTTGTGAGACAAGGGTCTCACTCTATGGCCTAAACTGGAGTGCAATGTTACAATCACAGCTCACTTCTGCTTCCACTGTCTGGGCTCAAGCAATCTTCCCACCGCAGCCTCCCCGGTAGCTGGGACTAGAGATGTGCTCCACCATGCTTGGCTAATTTTTCATTTTTTATAGAGATGGGGATCTCATTATGTTGCCCAGGCTGATCTCGAACTCCTGAGCCAGCTTGATTGTAATATAAATTAATGTATGATTATTTTATACCCTAAAATATGAAAAGAATACATCCATGCATTCTATATATGTATAAAATTTTAAAAAGTCAATATTGCTTTAAAAATGAGTCCTAGCTAAATAGTATTGCTACAGTCAATACTAGTATGAATGCATGCAAACAGGAATTAATTGTACAATAACAAGACGGCATGTGTCTCATGGTTCATTTTCAACTTAGTCACTTGCGGTTTTACAGTTAAACTATCCTGCTGCTTTAAATGTAGAGGCTTCATTTCTGCTCTAAGATTCCCCCTTTTAACACTCTGAGGATGTTAACTATTATTGTTAAATGTTTTAATCTTATATAACCAAGTGGATAAGAGTATGGACTCTAGAGCTGAACTGTTTAGGTCCTAATCCCACCTCCCCAATTATTAACTATGTGACCCTGGGCAAGAGTCCTCTCCCCTCTGTCCCTCACTTTTCTCATCTTTAAACTAGGCACAATAGTCTTTATTCCTCTGAGGGTTGTATTACATCCGTTAGTATTTGTAAAACCATTACAACAGTACCTAGCACATTTTAAGTGCTATATAAAATCAGTAGGAAAGTTAGAAAAAAACCTAAAAACACTTCACATTTTTTTTCACTAATGTAAAAAAAAAAAAAAAAAAAAAAAAAAAGGGGAAAAAGCCAGCTCTGCCCTTCTTGGAAGCACCCACTGGACCTAGAACTCCACATTCCCAACTCCAAGAGAGTTATTGAGTGCTCGTTCATTCAATAATTTGAGTGCCTACCATGTACTAAAACTCACCGTTAATCAGACAAAGCCCCTGCCCTCAAAGGGCTTATGTTGGGTTAGAAATCAGAACTCTACCACTTTTTTACAGACGAGAACACTGAATTCAGAGTATGGCATGATGGCTCACGTCTGTAATCCCAGCACTTTGGGAGGCTGAGGCAGCCATATCACCTGATATCAGGAGTTCGAGACCAGCCCAGCCAACATGGTGAAACCCCATGTCTACTAAAAATACAAAAATTAGCCTGGCATGGTGGTGGGCCCCTGTAATTCCAGCTACTCAGGAGGTTGAAATAGGAGAATCACTTGAACCCAGGAGGGGGAGATTGCAGTGAGCCAAGATCACGCTACTGCACTCCAGCCTTGGTGACAGAGTGAGACTCTGACACACACACACACACACACACACACACACACACACACACACACAGAGGGAGGGAGGGAGGGAGGGAGGGGGGGGGGGGAGAGAAAGAAATTGGGAACACTGAGTCCAGAGAAGCTATGCCTTGCTTGCTCAAGGTTACACAGCTAAATAGCACCAGACCTTGGACAGTTCTTAGTTAGGGTGCCACATTCTCACCTTCTATTTGAAAGACTCTACCTAGCTTCGTGACCTTTCCTTCTTTGCACCCACCGCCACCGCCTGCCCAAACCAGGAGCCTAGGTTTCAGAAAAGAAAACGGTGAACCCCGAAGACAAAGTCACATGCTGGGCATTTTTAACCCTCCGCTGCAAGAAAATGAAAGGTTATTTTTTCTTCCCGGCGTTAACCTTTCCTGTGCTGTGCGGGAAATGTTGAGGACTTTTTAAAATTTTAACATTATTATTATTGTTGTTGTTGTTGAGATGGGGGGGTCACACTATGTCGCCCAGGCTGGTCTTGAACTCCTGGCTTCAAGCGATCCTCCCACCTCGGCCTCCCAAAGTGCTGGGATTCGAGGCGTGAGCCACCGCGTCCGGCCCGTGGATGTTTTTTAAAAAGGCTGAGTGGCCTCACTTGGGACCGAAAAGGTGAAGTCCCCGCCCCGTGGTGCAGCAGCGAAGACAAGCGGAGCCACCTGTCAGAGGGCTGTGGGCGGGGGCCGGGGCCGGGGCCGTGAGGGCCTTGGGGCCGGAGGGTGAGCGCCGTTGAGCGCACGCTCAGAGCAGACCGCTCGCAAGGAGGCAGGATGTGATAGTCTTAAGACCCTGGAAGCTGACGGCCAGAGGGAGGGAAAGGTGGTCACAGAGGAGAGGCAAAGCAACCGGAGGTAGAGGATCCTGGAGGTGACTGCAAGGAGAGTACGCAGGGGCGAGGGGCTGCAGAAACCGACCCTGCGACTTCTGCGCCGACGCGGGGCGGGCGGGAGAGAGGAGGAGAGGGCAGCGCGGCGGCGCTGCGGGCTGGCCCAGTCGGGGAGGGGGCTGCCATGTCCCGTGAGCGACCCCCCGGCACCGACATCCCCCGCAACCTGAGCTTTATTGCCGCGCTAACGGAGCGCGCCTACTACCGTAGCCAGCGGCCCAGCCTCGAGGAGGAGCCGGAGGAGGAGCCAGGCGAGGGAGGGACGCGGTTCGGGGCCCGATCCCGCGCTCACGCACCAAGTCGGGGCCGCCGGGCCCGGTCTGCACCAGCCGGAGGCGGCGGGGCTCGGGCGCCCCGCAGCCGTAGCCCAAACACCCGCAAGAGAGTGCGTTTTGCCGACGCACTGGGGTTGGAGCTGGCCGCCGTGCGCCGCTTCCGTCCCGGGGAGCTGCCCCGGGTGCCCCGCCACGTGCAGATCCAACTGCAGAGGGACGCCCTCCGCCACTTCGCGCCCTGCCAGCCCCGCGCCCGCGGCCTCCAGGTAGGCGGCGGGGGCACCTCCCCTCCTGGGGACCTCCCCCAGTCGGCCGCAGCGGGCAGGTGGGAGTGGATTTGCCAAGGAGCACCCATCTCCATCCCATCCCTGGGCTTGCGCCTGCCCATCCCTTTTTGGGTCCCCCATACGCGAGTGGCTCTAGGCCACCCTGGCAGCTGGGCCGCACTGTGCCTGCCCGGACGCCGGGTTCGGCCTCTGATTGGCCCAGCGCCTCGCTCTGACACCGCCCCTGTCTCTCCCCTCTCTCCGCCCCGGGCTCCCTCCTCCCGCTTCTTCTTTCCCCCAGGAGGCGCGCGCCGCCCTGGAGCCGGCCAGCGAGCCCGGCTTCGCCGCCCGCTTGCAGGCGCAGCGAATCTGCCTGGAACGCGCCGAGGCGGGCCCGCTGGGCGTGGCCGGGAGCGCGCGCGTGCTGGACCTGGCCTACGAGAAGCGCGTGAGCGTGCGCTGGAGCGCCGACGGCTGGCGGAGCCAACGTGAGGCCCCCGCCGCCTACGCCGGCCCGGCCCCGCCCCCGCCGCGCGCCGACCGCTTCGCCTTCCGCCTGCCCGCGCCGCCGATTGGGGGCGCTCTGCTCTTCGCCTTGCGCTACCGTGTGACAGGTCACGAGTTCTGGGACAACAACGGCGGCCGTGACTATGCTCTACGAGGGCCCGAGCACCCAGGCAGTGGCGGAGCCCCGGAGCCCCAGGGCTGGATCCACTTTATCTGAGACGAGGCACCTGCGGCCGACGGCGGAAAACCCCAAAGGCACCCGGGGGGACCGATGTGGTGGGGAGGAATAGGAGAGACCAGGATTGGCGGGGAGGACGAGGAGGGTGGAGAAATCAGGGGCGGGGTGGGCCGAATCAACGAAGCTCGGGGAGGGAGATGGGGTTGTTAAAAGCTGGTCGGATGTGAGCAGAAGGAACCCCAGGGTATAGGAGGAAGGAAACCCTACACCGCACCCAAGGGATTAGGCAAAAGGAAAAGAATGGGGATGATGGTGGCTTTCCCCTCAGTGAGTGGGCACTGGGAGAAAGGGAGGAGGTCCATCAGGCCTAGGCAGTTGAAGAAGGTTAAGAACCTTTTGGGGATGGAGGAGGTATGATGTAAAGTAGCCCACCCAGTCGAAGTCATTTCGATTGCTGGCGCATTCCCTCTTCTTACCCGCCTTTTCCACCTCAGGTCCCCTTGTCCTACCAATCCTCGCTTTAACTCAGCCATAATTGCCTTGCTTAATCCCAGGAACCTGGCCATTGCCCCTTGGTCCTTGGCGTTATGACGGGATTCCCTTGTCACCACTGACAGTTCCTGGCTGCGGTGTCCGTGGACTGGCTGGGGAGTGATGACAGGTAGCCGTCAGAGCTCCAGCCTCCAGGCAGCTTCAGGGATTAAAATGGAGGCCAAAGCAACTCCAGAGCTGTTCTTATAGCCAAATACTGAGGTGCCTAAGGGGTTGGTACACTCAGGGGCTTCCAGGAAAATGCCAGCCTTACTCTTCTGGGGTGCCTTTTAATAACTTCCAAGCACTTTATGGACTGTTTGTCGAGGGACAGTGAATCAGGAGAATCACTATTCCGATTTCTTTTGCCTCCGAAGAGGAAGTCCCTGACTAGCTATATAACTTTGGGCAAGTTACTTCATCTCTTTGTGCCCCAGTTTTTCCCTTGGGAAATTGGATTTAGGTTAGATGATCTTTGAAGGCCCCTTGTATGATATGTTGTGATCTGTACATGGCAGAGTATAGATTAGAAGCCACATTTTCCAACCTAGTGCTATGGTTCAGAACACAGAGCACCCCAAGCGTTTGGCTGAAGCCAAGGATGGGTCCTCTGGTTTTTGGCACAGATGTTCGAGAGTCCCGGAAGCATCCCATAACCAACCTGCAGCCTCACCTCACCCCAGCATATTCCAGAGCCCCTTCCAAACCACAGCTCATCCTCTGCTTCATTTTGCTCTTGCCCTCACAGACTTCTAGCCTCCATGGTCTGAGACAACTATATCTCTGTTGGTGAAAATGATGCTTGAGAACCCAGAAGACTAAAGGAAACAATGTTAAGGGCTTTTGTGGGGATAAAAGATAATGGGTATATGGAATAGAAACATTTCAAATGAAGAATCAAAGCATTTTAGTCAATCCACATGGTTGTTAAAAAAAAAAAAAAAAGGCCAGGCACAGTGGCTCACATGTGTAATCTAAGCACTTTGGGAGACTGAGGTGGGCAGATCACCCGAGGTTAGGAGTTCCAGACCAGCCTGACCAACATGGAGAAACCCTGTCTCTATTAAAAATACAAAAAAATTAGCCAGGCTCGGTGGCACATGCCTGTAATCCCAGCTACTTGGGAGGCTGAGGCAGGAGAATCACTTGAACCCAGGAGGCAGAGGTTGCGGTGAGCCAAGATTGCGCCATTGCACTCCAGACTGGGCAACAAAAGTGAAACTCTGTCTCAAAAAAAAAGCATCAAAGCAACTTGAATAGTAAATGGTACCAGAAGATGGTCTGCTCCATAACCAGAGCAAGTGCAGTGGGAAAGCTGGACTTTCATACCCACTCACCTTCATGCCTTATGCCTCTCCTCCTGGTTAACCTTAACAGGGGAGTGATTCCTCTCCTGGTTGCTGTTTTTCCTTTTCTCTTACCCTATTCCTAACCTCTTTACTTTTCTCTTTCTTTCCTTGTCTCTCTCCCTTCTCATCACTTTTTTTCTTTTAACATATAGGGCATTTACCTTACTTTAGTCTATTTCCATTTGTTTCCATCTTCATTCTTGTTCATCTCTGCTATTCCTTCTCCCGCCAGAAGGGATGGAAACCCTATTTGCTTTTCTCAAAGCCCATGGTTGGTCTACTTTCCTCACTCAGGCTCCTTGACAGTCTTCTAGAAGAGAGAAGAAGGAAAAGAAGCAGTTCTTGATGTTACAAATGAACAAGGATCTTCCAGGTAACCAGCTCCCCACACCCATTTCTGTTATTGATTTCTCAAAGAGAAATTTCTGGTTCCCCCTCTTCCTTATCACTGAGTGAAAGGGGATGGGCATGTTCACGTGCCCATACATACATTCAGAATAGAGTGTGGGGCAGGCTGTGCTGGCTCACACCTGTAATCCCAGCACTTTGGGAGTCCAAGGCAGGCAGATCATTTGAGGTCAGGATTCAAGACCAGCCTGGCCAAACATAGTGAAACCCCATCTTTACTAAAAATACAAAAATTAGCCAGGTGTGGTGACTCATGCCTATAAGCCCAGCTACTCAGGAGGCTGAGGCAGGAGAATCGCTTGAACCCGGAAGGCTGAGGTTACAATGAGCCGAGATCGCGCCACTGCACTCCAGCCTGGGTAACAGAGTGTGAGACTCTGTCAAAAAAAGAAAGAGAGAGAGAGAGAGAAAGAAAAAGAAAGAGAGAGAGGAAAGAAAGAAAAAGAAAGAAAGAAAGAGAAAGAAAGAAAGAAAGAAAGGAGAAAGAAAGAGAGAGTGAGAGAAAGAAAGAAAGAGGAAGGAAGGAAAGAAAGAAAGAAAGAATTGAGTATGGGGTTTGTTACCATGCCCCTCCTGTCCACAGTCTTAGTCTTTGAGAAAAGGTGGCTGAAAGAGAGGAGTCCCCAAGTCATTCCTCAAACAAATGCCCATCTAAACATCATCCTTATCTTGTGAAGAAAACAAGAAGAATTTCGTGCACCATGTGAATCACCTTCAGTTCAAAGTTGCAGCAAAATGAAGAAACTACTGGAAGCTGCCAAGCAATGCACTGTTGAGTCATCAATTAAGAGCCCACAGGAGGATAATAGAGAGGGAGACTGGGTGGAGGCTCAGTGTGGAACAATCTCTTGTCTAATGTATGCTTGTCACTGCCATGTTGTATTAATAATGAGAGGTCACATTTACTTAACACTTGTGTGCTAAAATCTGGGGTTTTTTTCTTTCCAGAACCATGACTCGATCATAAAATCTGTTTTGTTTGTATGCATGCCCAAAACCACCCTATGAGTAAAGCATTATCATTATCTCTGATTATAGATGAGGAAACAGGCTCAGAGAAGCTCAGTAATTTGTTCAAGATTTCACAGCTAGTAAATGGCAGAAGTAGGATTGTGAACCCAGGAAATCTCCAGAGCTTCCGTGTAACCGTGATGTTATATTTTTTTCCTCTTTAAAAACAATATTAAAAACCTTGCTATATATTATTTCTTATTAGGAAAAGACCATAGTTTCTGATTGTGCTCTGCCTTCCCGTCCTGCCAGTCTCCTGGACTGGCTTGAAGAAGACAGGGGGGTCCCAAGCTTCATCTGTGGCTCGAAGGAGTTTGCTGCTGTCTCCTGTGCCAGTGTCCCATCTCTGCAGGATCAGCACAGGATACCCCTCGCCTGCCTGCTTACACTCCAGCCTTGCCATACATTGGAATTCTCTCCTGACCCGAGCCAACACTCCACACCTGTTGGTGTGCCACTTCCCTCCCTCTTCCCCAACTGGCATTGAACAGACAAACCCCTCTAATGTTTCCACTAGGTTGGGTCCATGACTAGAACACCTGCTACATGGTCTGTGCTTGGGCCTTTTCTGGGAATCCTAATGTTACTGGGTAAATGCCAACTCTGACTGTGGGCAGAAAGCTAATGATAATCTTGTTCCCTAAGCTCTTTCTCAGAAGTACCCTGGCTTACTCCCCCAATGTCGGCTTTATAGAACAACATTTTGGTCTTGATTCTTCCCATATTGAGCTGCCCCTGGGCTTAGGTAAGCTGTTAGTTTCCCCAGCTGCCTCAAGGCTGGGTCTGGCTGAGCTACCTTCCTGTGCACACAAATAACAGGCGTCTCCTTGGAACCTGACTTACTATCGGTGCCATCAAGCCTTGTAAAATAGGAAAGAAACTAGTATTTCTTGAGTGACTTCTGAGTGCCTGGTTCTTTCAAGGCTGTCTGGAGAGATTCCCTGCCCTGATACCATTGGTGTGTACTCATCCCAGGACTTCAGCACTGAGATTCTCCCAACCCCCTGGCTTTTCCTCACCTTGGGTTGAACCCATGCAGCATCACCACAAAACCCACCATCTGCAAATCAACCAAGATTAGGCGGTGTGCCCTTTCCATCTTGCACTACTCTTTCCAAAACTTCCACCTGTATTTCCCACAGCCCCAGTAAGCAAAGCAGAGTGTGCCTGGACACAGCAGCATCCACTGCTTTCTCCCAGCAGGTGCAGTCTCATCGGACACCGGGACACTCAGAGTTTAGCGGAATCTTCAGCCACCCTATTAGTGTGTTATGCATTAGGCATTGTGGTAGAAACTCCTCTGACAGCTCATGACTAATGAACAGGAGCAATTTTGAATATGTCAGCCATGGACTGGGAAGTGCCATAAGAGAAAACACTACCACGGTCAGAGGCTTGGGTCTTTGGGACACCCAGCAGAAATACTGTGGCCCATTCCTCTCATCCAGACTGCAGATACCTTCCTACACCTACCTGTCCCATAGCCTCCTTTGTGTTCCTTTGTTTTTCTTTGTGAATGTAGAAAAACCTTTCATTATGAGCCCCAGCTCCTCAGTTTTCCATCTAACACCCACATTCCCTTGTTTCTAACTCCTGTGTTTTTCTGGAAACTGTTTGGATCTTCGCAGTTTGCAGGTCACAGAATCAGACCTGAAAAGGCTTCTCTTTAGAGATCATTGGATCCAGGCTCCTTTACAGATGAGAATACAGGTCCAAAGGTGAGAAATGACTCTAGTAGGGTCATAGAATTTGTTAGTACAGCTCAAAATGGGCTTAAATCTGGGCCTCCTGATCACATCCCATTCCCAGGCTAAGAAACGGGTCTCTGCTGGCTGTGGTGGTTCACACCTGTAATTACAACACTTTGGGAGTCTGGCTGAGACAGGAGCATTGCTTGAACCTGGGAGTTTAAGACCAGCCTGAGCGACATAGTGAGACCTTGTCTCTACAAAAATTTTAAAAATTAGCTGGACATGGTGGCACGGGTCTGTAGTCCAGCTATTCAGGAAGCTGAGGCAGGAGGATCGCTTGAGCCCAGGAGTTGGAGGTTACTGAGCTATGATCACATCGCTACACTCCAGCCTGGGTGACAGTGACACAGACCCTCAATTAAAAAACAAGAGGGAGAGAGAGAGAGAGAGGTCTCTACACAAACCCGTGATTTTTCACGGCAAGGTATAACATCAGAAATGTTTCATTTTCTGCTGTTAGTTTCCATTCCTTTCCCCACCTGGGTGTAAAGAGAAACAAAAGGCAATGACAGTATTCTCTGTGTCCCCAGCTTTGGCACTTTTATTGATGTTGTATAGAGCAGTGACTTTGCTAGAAAGACTGAATAATCCACCCACTGAATAGCCAACCTGGGGAGGAAATGAAAATTTTCTATGTGAATCTCCCCAAAACCGTTGTCACCAGGCCCTCCCAGAACCTCCCCAGTTCCTTCCAGTGCAGCCCTGTGCACCCGGCCCTCAACCCAATAGTATTGTGCCTCACTTTACCTTCCATGGGCAACTGCCCTCCCTCCTGGACATAAAACCTCATATTTTAAATAAAGTTGAAATATGAAAAGAAAGTATGTCATTAGACATTCGGAAGTATTGTTTGTTTGGGGCTAAGGGTAGCAAGAGACTCAGAGGCAAGATTCCCTCCTTGACTCTCAATCTCTTGGTCATCTTGTTTCTTTTTTTGTGTGTGTCCAGAAAAATTTAATAGGTTTGCTTATTATTATAAAGTTGAACCACTGATTCACTGAAACATTTTGACTTATACTGATGTTTTAATGTAATGAACTTTATATCCCTACCCACATTCATACTAAGAATTCACACACAAATGAAAATTGAAAAACTGACAACACCTGACTTCTGTCTCCTACTTTTCTGCTCACAGTCATATACTTAGGTACCTTTTGACCCCCATGGGGAAAGAACTACCAATGACATCCAGAACTACCAATGACAGGAAGCAGAGACTTTTTCTCTCTTTTGAGAATGAATGTTTCCCCCTTCATAGTGGATTCTTAAGCATGTTCTCCACGCATGCGGAGTGCTAGCTGGACGTCTTTTGACATAGGTATTACATATTTGGGATGGACAACACACAGGTTGGTGTCTTCAAAAAGGCCAACCAGATAGGCCTTGCTTGCCTCCTGCAAAGCATCAATAGCTGCACTCTGGAAGAGCAGATCTGTTTTAAAGTCCTGAGCAATTTCTCACACCAGAGGCTGGAAGGGAAGTTTGCGAATCAGTTCAGTAGATGTCTGATAATGTCTAATTTCATGGAGTGCTGCAGTACTAGGCCTGTAATAACTATGTTTTTTCAACCCTTCAGTAGAGGGTGCACTCTTATAAGCAGGCTTTTGTTTTTTTATTTTTTCTTTTTCGCTTCTCCCCCTCTTGTTAGTTTTTCGTTTTGTCTTGTTTGCTCTGTCGCCCAGGCCGGAGTGCAGTGGCGCGATCTTGGCTCACTGCAACCTCTGCCTCCCAGGTTCAAGCGATTCTCCCTGCCTCAGCTCCCCGCCCCCGCCCCCAGTATCTGGGACTACAGGCGCATATCATCACACCCGGCTAATTTTTGTATTTTTAGTAGAGATGGGTTTCACTATGTTGGCCAGGCTGGTCTTGAACTCCTGACCTCAGGTGATTCACCTGCCTCAGCCTCCCAGAGTGCTAGGATTACAGGCATCAGCCACCACGCCTGGCCAATTTTTGCGGGTTTTGTTGCTGTTGTTGTTGTTGTTGTTTAAGATGGAGGCTTGTTCTATTGCCCAGGCTGGAGTGCAGTGCTACGATCTTGGCTCACTGCAACCTCCGCCTCCCGGATCAAACAATTCTCCTGCCTCAGCCTCCTGAATAGTTGGAATTACAGGTGCCCACCACCATGCCCGGCTAATTTTTGTATTTTTAGTAGAGACGGTGTTTCATCATGTTGGCCAGGCTAGTTTCAAACTCCTGACCTCAGATGATCCACCTGTCTCAGCCTCCCAAAGTGCTGGGATTACAGGCATGAGCCACTGCGCCCGGCCCCCAATTTTTTGTATTTTTTAGCAGAATTTTTGCCATATTGGGTTTTGCCATGTCGGGCAGGCTGGTGCTTTTGCCATGTTGGGCAGGCTGGTGTCCAACTCCTGACCTCAAGTGATCTGCCCTCCTTGGCCTCCCAAAGTACTGGAATTACACGCATGAGCCACCTCACCTGGCCCAAGCAGCTTTTGTAGCCAGTTGCTTCCTGAGTGCTTTACCACCAGTTTGTGAGCAATTTGCTTTGTGTGAGACTGTGAGAGAGACCTCCTTACTTACTACCCTTCTTTTGCTAGCTAGAGTTCCGGGAGCTAGAGGCGGTGCTGGTTAGAGAGCTACCTAATTTCTTAAAAGCCCTATTCTCCTTCTGATGGCTATGCAAAACGCTGAGGGGAAGGAGCTTTGGAGGAGTTAGGCAGCCTTGGTGTAAGACACTCCCAACGGGATCCTATCATCATTTTGGGTAGTGCAAAATTCACCAGGGCCCAGCTTGTCTCTGGCACCCAGCACCAACTGCTTTAACCAACAGTTAAAGGGAAGAGCTTGAGAAAAGCCCTGCATTCTCCTTAGGTCGGGGAATCCTTCCTTAAGGAGGCCATCTGAGTTACATTCTGCTCCTTAAGTGCTGGGTGGAAGAGCAAAGCTCTTATCAAATGCAACCCCCAAAGGCAAAGAAGGAGAAATATGGAAAGGAAAAGCAAAGACCTCTGTCTAATTCAGAATGGAGTGATTATAAAAGAAAGGAGTCAGCTGGGTGCAATGGCTCATGCCTGTAAATCCCAGCACTTTGGGAGGCTGAGGCAGGTGGATTAGGAGGTCAGGCCAATATGGTGAAACCCTGTCTCTACTAAAAATACAAAAATTAGCCGGGCATGGTGGCTTGCACCTGTATTCCCTGCTACTTGGGGAGACTGAGACAGGAGAATTGCTTGAACCTGGGAGGCGGAGGTTGCAGTGAGCTGAGATCGCGCCACTGCACTCCAGCCGGGGCAACAGAGTGAGACTCCATCTCAAANAAAAAAAAAAAAAAAAAAAAGGAAGGAGTCCTTGAAAAAGATTAAGTTCTAACAGGATTGACTTCTACATCACTTGAATGATGAAAGAATCCAATTACCCACAAAGTAATTAGAATGTTCCTAATAGGGAAGCCCTAGCCTGAGAATAACAGATGCCTCCTCATTACATCATAATGGCCAAGCTGTGATGTCAGCACAGAGCACCCACTCTTGAATAAGTGTTGTAAGTGAAGCCAGATATGCTGAAGAGCAGAATCAGCATGAGGAGCAGACACCCCAGGAGAGGTAAGTGGGTTTTCTCCGTGGCTTATTGCCCAGAATCTCTGTGGCCCCAACCTCATTGCAGACTTCGCACGTCTTAATTTGGGGTTAGGTATATCTGAATTTTTTTCCAAAAAATTTCAATGCAGTATTTGCTATCCCAAGTCTATTGCAAATCCTCAATCATTGCAGTTCTTACTGTCAGCCCACCAGCTCTGGTATTTCTTAGGAGACTGAGTACAGGGTACTGGGGGATAATTTCCCCAAATGGCACAGAAACTCAGCACATCCATTTGGTTAGTCCCAGGGGTAGATCCAAGTTTTTGGGTGCCTGAAGAGTGCAACTTTTGGAGCCCCCTTTAAGAAAATTAAATACAAAATTAGGGGGAAAAAGTGAATATATGTTTTAGAATGAGAAAAGCTGTCAACAAATATTTTTTAAAGCTGTCAACAATTATCTACCCAACAACCTATATTTCTCTACAATTTTTTTTAAAGCTGTATGCTCTTTGATAGACTTTTCTATATGTTTTCCCAAAGAGAAAAGTAATTCTGTCTTCCAGAAAGATTGATCATATTTCAAAAATCCCCCACCTTTTTTTTGAGACAGGATCTCACTCTGTCACCCAGGTTGAAGTGCATTGATTGGACCATGGCGGACTGGAGCCTTGACCTGCCCAGGCTCAGGTGATCCTCCCACTTCAGCTCCCCAAGTAGCTGGGACTACAGATACACCACCACACCTGGCTAATTTTTTATATTTTTTTGTTTCCCAGGTTGGTCTCGAACTCCTGGCCTCAAATGATCCACCCACCTTGGCCTCCCGAAGTGCTAGTATTACAGGTGTGAGCCACTGTGCCTGGATCCTAAAGGCCTCATTTTAACACAGTTACCTCTTTTATCTCCAAACACAGTTACATTCTGAAGTACTAGGGGTTAAGACTTTAACATGAATTTTTGGGGGGATACAGTTCAGTTCATTATGTTATACCTACATGGGGATAATTTATTCACAAAAGTAACAGCAAAACACTTAAGTGTACCTACTAAACCCACACTAAATGTATTCCTGCCAGGCACAGTGGCTCATGTCTGTAATCCCAATACTTTGGCTGGCCAAAGTGGGCAGACTGCTTGAGCCCAAGAGTTCAAGACCAACCTGGGGAACAAAAAAATATAAAAAATTAGCCAGGTGTGGTGGTATGCCTGTAGTCCCAGCTACTTGGGGAGCTGAAGTGGGAGGATCACCTGAGCCTGGGCAGGTCAAGGCTCCAGTGAGCCATGGTCCAACCAATGCACTTCAACCTGGGTGACAGAGTGAGACCCTGTCTCAAAAAAAAAAAAAAAAAAATGTGGCCAGGTGCAGTGTCTCACGCCTGTAATCCCAGCACTTTGGAAGGCCAAGGCGGGTGGATCATGAGGTCAGGAGTTCAAGACCAGCCTGGCCAACATGATGAAACCCGTCTCTACTAAAAATACAAAAATTTGCTGAGCATGGTGATATGTGCCTATAATCCCAGCTACTCAGGAGTTTGAGGCAGGAAAATTGCTTGAACTGGGACCTGGAAGGCAGAGGTTGCAGTGAGCCAAGGTCGAGCCAC